AGGTTTAATTTGTGCCTTTATACTGTTTATGTGTAGTTCATCTATTTACACAAAGAATTGATTTAAGAATTTATTTGTTACACTCTGGATAATCATCAAAGAAAATTCTCATTCATAAAAGAAAAGCAAAATTACTCAAACTATCGCTAAGATAATTGCTTATTTAGCTCTTAATAAAAGTGCCTCTCTAGTTTTTTCACAAATAGTTAATTAGAGTTATAAAGAAGTTTGTCAACTAAAATTTTGAGCTATGGTGCTTTAAATTAATTGAGCCAATCAAAACTTGTAGGCATTTTGAAGAAAATAATAATATACTATATAAAAATATAATAACTTGTAATAAATTGTAATAAAATATAATAGAATTTATCTAAATTTAATAAAATTTTTGAAAATTCTAGTAACAATATTAAGCTTAATTTTAATGGTCTTATTTATTTTTATTTGAAGTAATTTAGTATTACTGTTCAATGAAATTGTAGTATTTATAGCATAATTCAATTGGATTAATATAATTTGATAAAAGCTTGTTAAATAATAAAGTTATTTCAATTTTTTTATAAAAATATAGAATTTGTAAACCTATATACTTTTTTAATTAATTTGTTTTTAGTAATAATGTAAATAATTAATGTCAAATAGATAAATTTATAGATACTGGATACTATTATTGAATAGTTTGAAATAAATTTGGTTGTTTTCAATTAGTAAGAATTGTTTTTTCTCTGATTTTTACATTAAAATTAATAATATAATTTTTTTGAAGGAACAGATAGTTATTATATTATATTTTTTGTTTTAATTTTAGACTTGCAATCATAAGCTTTATAATCCTTAATATGATATATATCTTTCTTTATTAAAAAGAGTTTAATATAAGGCTTACAATTGTAATCTATTTTCTAATGTTTTTTGGTATCACTCAAGAATATAGAAAAAAAAAGTTTACAATCTATATTATATTGTAACAATTTTGATTTTAGCCTGCCACCTAATCTTGCATACATGCTATTATTATCAAAGTGATCAATAATTCAAAATTATATGAGTATTACAAAGAAGTAATAGATATTACTAATAGTATTTATACTAATATTATCATATAAGATTAATAAGAAGGTTATGAAAAAATTTTGAGAAAAGATTACTGACATTATAAAGAAATTACATTGCTGAAACTGTTTAATTTTTATAAATATCACTATTTAATTGTCACTTAATTGTTATTTAATAATTAAATAATAGTAACAGAGCAGTTATAATAGTGTTAATCACTACATTACTACATCTTATTGCTATTAAATTGCTACTAAATTGCTATTATATTGTTATAATATTGTTATCATATTGTCACTAAATTATTTATATTGCTAAATATAAATAGAAACTATATTATAATTGCTTTACTACTATTTAAATAACTTTTATACTACTATTATATTACTATATTGTTGCAGAATTATTATTACAATTGTAACTGCTTTGTTTTTATATTGTTATTATTATATTATAATATAGTAACAGAATTAATTATATTTAAATTGTTACTGCTACATTACTATTTTTTTAAAAAATTTTTATCATTACTACATTGCTATTATACTGCTACTATATTGCCATTAGATTATTAAAAAATAGTTACTTTCAGTAAAATAAATAAAAAAGAAAAACAAATATATTAATATTAAATCTTTTTTTGGATATAATTCTTAAATACAATTAGTTATTTCAGTCAAATATCAGTGAATATACTTATTTAACATAAAAGAAGTTTAATTTTCTATTTTTATTTTTATTTATTTTATTATATTTATTTTTATTATGTTACAATATATATATCTTCCAAAAAATTAAGCCTTATATAAATATATACTGTATATAATATTTTATTTATTTTTATTTATTTATTTATTTAAAAAAGATTGTAGTATTAATAAAAAAAAACTCTTTTTCATACACAACTTTTTTTTAAAAAAAATTTTTTTTCTAGTAATTTTTCTTCAAAATTAACAAAACAAATAATTTTTTCACTTTTTAATATCCAAAAGTTCTTCACACTTTTTTTTTCTTAATTATAAAAATGTCAAAAAAACCAAAGAAGTATACTGGTACATCAGAATGAAACCTCTAATCAGAGAAAAACAAGTTTGAAGATCTTTCTTTTTCTTTAAATTGCATGAGGAAAGGCCTGTAGCAATTATTTCTTTATAAATCTTCTTTGAAATTCTTTCTATTTTTTTCTTTTCAATATACAAATCTTTTTAAATAATTATACTTTCTACTTGAAGGTCTTCTTTTTATCTCAAAAAATTAGACTTTATGTCAAAATTATTTATATTGTTAACTTAAAGTATCAACAATGTATTCAATATTTACTTTTCACTATTGCTCAGCATATTTTGCTATACTATCAAAAACCAAAAATTCCACTCAAAAAATTTTCACCAAAAAATCACAATCAGTTTACTTCTGTTAATTGATCAACATTTCAAATACTGCCAATTTTTCAAACAAATCTGTACAAATCAAAATACTACATTTTGATCAATATAAATAAAATCTTTTATAGTAACAACAATTAAAACAAAATCGTATCATCAACAAATAAACCAATCACAAATAATATTACTATAAAAACAATACTACCACTATAATTAATAATTTATCAAAAAGATATATATTAGAATCTGCATTGAATTTGCTTGCTGCTAATAATCAAATAATTTGCAAAAAATATCCAAATAATGATAATATTCAAAATATTAATGTAAGTATAATTTAATTTTATAACTTATAGATTAATTAGTTTTTTTTAAAAGGATACAATTGTTCTTTTAAAATCATTAGAACATGCTACTTGTTTTTTATCAACCTCAAATTATCCAACCCATGGCAATGTTTGATTTATTATTTTTAGTATTCAAAAGTATTTAGCTCAATATAAGAATAATAATGATTTTTCGCAAATCCAAATGGCCAATGCAATGTATCAAAAATTAGAAAATTATTGGTTGATACTTGATAAATCCTTACAAATATCAGAATTTCTTGATCCATGGGTAAAAACATTTGCATTTAAAACTGAAGAAGGGAAAAATACTGTAGTATAATTAATTTAATTTTAGATTTAAAAGAATATTTGACAAAAACATTTCCATCAACAATTACTTTTATTAATAATTCAATAAGTAATAGAGAATATTTCCAGAATTTATATACTTTGACTTCACAAATATATAGTGAATCATCAAATTCATTTTTTGAAGAAATCAAAAAATATTTGGAAATACTTTTACTTGATCAGATTGATCCTCTGAATTGGTGGCAAAACAACATCTTGAATATCCAACTTTAAGTCTTATTGCTCACGATTACTTATCAATTCAAGCAACAAGTGTTGCTTCCAAACAAGCTTTTTCAATTGCTGGACAAACAATTTCAACAAAACGAAATAGATTATATGGAGAAACAGCAAAGGCAGTTTTGTGTTTAAAAAGTTGGATTCAAAAGAATATATGCTAAGGTAATTAAATAATAAATTAATTTAATAATTATAATTTAATGATTACTATTTATTTATTTTTTATATTTTAGAAAAAGTACCGGCAAACATAATATATAATTTTCATTTCTTTAATTTATTACTGTATATAATTATGCTATATACAGTATATGCATTTATACTTAAACAAATAAAAATTCTTAATTTTAATTAAATTATCATTTAAATTATTATAAAAAAAAAGTTATTTATCAAAGGACGTTTTTTGGGACCAAAACCGGTCCAAATTAATTAATAAATTCTATAAGACCGGTTTTACTAAGGACTGGAACGGACCGGACTGAACTAGTCCATCACTATCCACGATAAATTTCATACTCTCAAGACCGTATGTCGACATCCATTTTTTTGTTTATATGATGTGATACATTCCCACACGTGTATATATGCTAACGAACATTTTTCCGGTTATAGATGACATCGCTTATTGTTCCGAGGATCGCACCATTCTTGGACTTCGCCGGCCTATTGATGTTCGTAGAGAAAATCTCTATGTACTTACTTGTCGGCGCCACGTTGTATTTTCACGTAACACTAAGCAAGACATCGATGCGAAGCATAATTCCGACCTTCCTACACGTGATGCCATTAATGAAATTCTTGCAAATCGTGATGCCCGCAGCGAACTTGCTGATCGTGATGTCAGATTCGTAACCGAGCTTACCGAATACCGTGCCAAACTTAATGCTGAACTTACTTCACGTGACGAGAAAATTACAGCGGAGGTCCAAAGCAATGCTTAATACTTCTACTACCAGACTTGATGAAATTGAACGCACCCTTCAAACCTACCATAATAATTTTGGTAGAGTCGCAACGGAATTCGAATCAATTAATGGATCTATCTCAGCGCTCCAAAACGAGATTAATCGATATTATGCTGTCGTCCAGGTACGAAGTGACATTTCTCCAGAAATAAGAATCGAACCCACCGAGGAAGTGGAACTCCAAGACGGCGACTCATCCGACCAACAAAGTGATGAAAATCAATCCGAAGCTTCTTCTGGTTCCAGCCAGCAATCATTTTCAGATATACAGTAACTTCAGAAATCTGGAACCTATTTAAAATTATTTTTGATAGAGTTATGGCGGAATAGGGATGTTCTTTTGATGATATGTGGTAATGGTTGATCTTCTTAATCTTGGGGTGGGAAAACTTAGTAAAGATACGATCAAAAATTATTATTAACGATTTAATAGTGAGTAACGGGAAAGGAACTGTCATCATACGGGTTAGGGCTCGGCAAATTTCCTCCCTTTAAATCTCGTCTCTCTCTCATTTTTACTTAGCCGGTTGACCAATAATAAAGAATATGTTTTGTTTTCGATTGATTTTTAATATTGTGAACGTCTTTTTTCAATGAAAAGTTTTTCATAAATTATGTAGCATTTGGCAATTTTATTTTATTTAAAATTACGAAACATTTAATTATGGTGATTATTTTTTGCTTGGCGAAACGTTAGATAGGAGATGTTTCATTGCACGCACTGATGGCTGATTCATTGCAGTCAAAATATTTTCATCCGGTGGGTCAGTGATGTCATTGGCAAATTGTGTAGTTGATCGACGGTGTAAAAAATTATAATCTACAAGTGAATCAACTTTTTCAGAACCAATTTCTTTAATCAAGTCAACTTCTAAAATGTATCCCTGATTCTCTGCCTTCACTATTGCTTTCATGGTTTTGATTAAATCATAGTCCTTCCAAAGTGCTGGATTAGGCTTATCTGAATATCTCAATCCCTTATAATAGAGGCCACGTTCCAACTTATTATATTCTGATCGGTAAACTGAAAATTTGCTATCTATAAAATAATTGTTTAAAACATTTTATTTTTTTAAATTAACAAAATACATTTCCTTCAAAAGAAAATAAAATCCGATATGTACTTTAAACTTTCCATCATAATTTTTGTATTCTTTAACATACTTATCAATAATTAGCATGCGTGTACCCGTTATTTTGCGGACGCGGTCAAATTTGCCTTCGAGTTCTTTGCATTCTTTTTTAAATAACAAATACCGTTATGTGAGCCCACAGCATACATAAATAAATGGGTTCAGTAAAGACATACCATATCGAGAAATAACATGCTTTTCAAAATATTCTTCGGCTTCTTCCTTACTCAAATCTCCAACAACATATGGGGTTGCATGTGAGATATGCAAAACTATTGAAACAGATGTAGAGTAGACCCTTACATTTATACCAAAAATGATTACAAGATGGACTTACGATTTACGATCCAGTTAAAAAAGAATGAGTCAGAAGAGGTAAGCACAGCATGGAAGCGTTTTTCTTGTTTAGTATTCGCCACAAGCCAGTTAAGAAATGATTTAAGAAGAACTGCCCCTTCCCTCGAACTACTACCAAGTTGGCTAAGCAAGTTTGCTTCATCAATGATCAAGATGGGTGGTGGTACATTGTAATCATTCCAAAAGTTCCAAATCGGAAGGGCACGAGCAATTTTACCAAGCAACTCACTAAAACTATTAGTAATAAATTCTTCCTTTTCTTTCTCACCAAATAGCTTGGTCTCCGTTTCTGGCAATATTTTTTTCAGGAGTTCCTTTCGTTCATCGAAGAATGGTTTGAATTGCATGGAAATAGAATTATGTACAGCCATTGGGGAATCAAACTGTCCTATACGGCAGTCGATAAAAAAAGGTTTAAAATTGCCTTTACTCGTTACCTCACGGACCAAGGCAGTTTTTCCAGTACTAGGAGGCCCTAGAACAACATGAAGTTCCGGATCAGAACTGAATGCGTTTGTGAATTTGACAAGTTCTCGCTTCCGGTTAAAAAAGATATCATTAGCTTTTGTATTATAATGAGCAACACAACCGTTACTCGGTCTATTTGAAATACAGCCACCGCCGGTAGGCAAGCGTTTGAGGGATTTAGTTAAACCGAAAACGAACATGGCTCGTAAATAGAAGATCTTTACCTGTTACGTAAAATCCAGTGTAACAATTGATTTTTAACAGGGTCTCATATGATTACAAATTTTATTAGTGCACTACTAACAATAATTGTCGCAACAACCCCCCATCCAATAAAATTATTTGTTTTACGGATTGTTTATTACGGGTTGTTTATATAATTTTGGCTTGTTTTTGTCCGTATCACGTGATTCCCAACATTACCATCCTCAGCATCATCTGTTACAATAATTATTTGAGACGAAAGTTCTGGTATGTATATTTTTGATATTTGTAATTTTGGGCCTACAAAGAAATTTTATTCGATTTTCTGGATGAATAAATTTATTGTCAAAAAAACAATAGCAAATTGCAAAAGCATTTAAAGCTTGAGTTTATTCAATAAGACCTAGCTCTCAAATATAATTTGAAATAACTAGATATGAATTCTTATAATACCAAACATATCTTAAAACAATTCAATTTTTTTTACAATTCTATTTTGATTTGATCATATATTCATTTTTGTAAAAATGTTTTATGTGTTGTTCATATTGTTTGCCATTGTTGAGCTCTAGTTCACAAGGATACTCTGGTGTTTTCAAGAAATCTAGTTTGCGGATTTCAGAGAGTGGGTTAAGAATTCTAGTTATGACTTTACAACATAGGTTTTCATGTTTATTTAAGCAATATGGGCACCAAGGTTTAACTTGCTTAATACTATTAAAGTTAGCAAACTATTTATAACCTTTATTACACATCCATTGTATCAGAATATAGAGATTTATATATTTTATAGAAAGATAGATATCTTTTCTACTGTGAGCAATTTCCTTAACTTCTATAAGATCACAAAAAAAATTATCAGCACATTGTGAGCACTATCTTCCTATATTTTTAACTCAATAAAGGGTTGTAGACTATTTATGACATTTGACACATTTCTAAAGCATCAAAGTATCTTTTTTAACATATTCTATAAAAAGGCAATATTATTTGCTATATCAATATTGAATTGTCATTGATTACATTTTCGGTACTATATATTATGTCTTTGAATTGAAGTAAATTCTTGTTTTGGTATAATATGTCATTGTACTAGGATAATCTTTTAACTTGGTATAACATATTTTTTTTCTAGTGTACTATACTTTCGACACCAAGTTTCCTTAAGAATATCCTTTACTAAAGCTTTTCACTTATAACCTTCTTTACACTGCCATTCGAGAGGATTCTGTCTATTAACATATTCAATTGCAAGATAAAGATCTCCTTTTTTTTCTGCAAACTTTCTCATATCTTTAATTATTTGAGTACGAGAATTTCCAATAACACACTTTGGGTACTAGGTATTATGATTTTTTATATTAGTAAGTCTTGCAGACTATTCATGTTTTTAATGCATTTTTAAAACATCAAAGTATTATTATTAATGTATTGTTCTGAGAGACACACACCTCCTCTACTATGTGGGATTTTCTTAGCAGTATCTATAGTTAATTTTGCCATTAACAATATATACCAAAATTTTAAAGGGCTGGCAAATTTCTTCCTTGAAACATTCTGCTACTCAATCATTTAATTAGCCAGGCCTCTACCTTCTCAATATTTATTTTTACAAAAATAATAAAGATATGATTTGACCTTTTTAATTATGCAGATACATTGCTAAGTAATTTTTCTTTATTGTTTTTCCTGTTAATATTGATAATGGTCAGCTTGTAAGTCACTACAAAAAAGTTATCAAGGCAAAGCAAATTACTTTTGCTCAAGGTAGAAATTTCTGACAATCAGGATAATCTCTTAAGCTTTTTTTCTATTGTGGCATAAATTGAATATGAATTTCTTTCTATTCTTTCATTAGATCATTGAGCTAGGCAGTACTTAAACTGCTCTTTAATATATTACAATATGATAACTTTTTACCAACGATCTGTTAAAAATTTATAATATTTTTTAGTATCTTCTTTACTTTCTATTCAATTATAATAAAAACATATATTTTCTATAGCCAACTTATTTCTTTCAACTTCTGTAATAATCGAAAAATTTTCAGAATCTATTCTATGTTCAATAGCATATTGATACAAGTCAGCTTTTGGTTAATAAAGGCAGGGTTTATTTGGTACCTCTTCCTGAGTTTCTGGTAAACTATGTACAGCAATAATAACTTTCTTTTAATCAATATGAAAAGAACAATTAAGAAAATAGTGATCATTTTTATCTAGACAACTCCAATCACTCCATATGCCTAAACATGTATAAACTTTATTACATATTGGGCATTTAGCTTCTGAATCAGTATATTTAAATATATTCTAATGCCATGCATTTAATTTAGTATATGTCAAGAAAGAAAATCTTTCTGTACTGCTTCAATAATCATATATTTCTCTTCTGGCAGGGTCATCCATATCAAATACTTCGTCTAATCCTAGCTTAAGTTCTTCTGGATCTTCTTCTGGTGGTGGCGTCGTTTCGATGTTGTTTAACTCATTATTCCCTTCGTTTTCCTTAGCCTTATCTTGAGCATCAGTGTCGACGTCTAAAATTTGAAAATCTTAATAATACAGTTTTAAGAAAGATAATTATCAGCATTTTCGATTTGTGGGAATTCAATATTTTGGATTTGTAAGAATTCATAAACTTCAGACTTTATTCAAGGATCGAGTCCAGACTCTTCCTTATATGCTTTATATAAGATCAAATGAATTTTATCAGTTAAAAGAGTTGATACTTCAATCAATTTAACACACTAATCCAAATATTCAAAGGTTAAGGCATTAAGTGTCATTTCTCCGAAATAGGCTTTATTCATATTATTGTTTTATACAATCGCAAATTCAAATTAAGTATGGAGTCTTACTTATAACAAGAATACTTACAGCTAATACATATTTCAAAATAGTAATTAGTGGAGCAAGTACTAAAGATGCTAAAAAAAATAACCATAATTTATAATGTTTGAAACCAGAAAATTTGTTAAAAACAGTTAGATAGTATATGACTTTACAATTTATATGGTTATTTTGATTTCACATTTTTCACAAATAATAAAATAGGATCCAGCTTCATATCTACCTGTTACACTTTTTCTATCCTCATCACTTTGGTTACATTGAATATAATGAATCCTTAATAATTCTATAATAATCAAATTTTTCTGCAACAATTGTTCTATATAAATCAGAATATTGTCACAATATTTTATTACAAAAATAATCATGATTATAAGTTGAATTAGATGATCATATTTGTCAAATTGCTAACCTGTGGGTCTATAGTGTAGTGGTTAACACTCCACAGGTAAAATCACAAGATACCGGTTCAATCCCAGGTGAAGGTGATTGAATAGAACAATATGGTATCTGGCACCATAACCTGTTATATGCTGTTTTTCATGCGAAGCCGTTTTACACACTGATTCAGCGAGCATTGAGATTGTGATTTTCAGAAAAGATGTTGCAATGTAACGATCATCCGGTTGACGTTACAATGATCGTTGTCAAGTTTGGTATAATTCCCAGTTCCATAACAGATCGTTTCCCCTTCCTATAGTCCACGAAACTATAAAAGAAATTATGGAGGGCCACAAAACCGGAAATTTTCAAGCAAGACTTTCAGCACGAGTTACGCACTCACCAGTAACACCCACCATTCTTACTTGTAGTGAAGGTACTTAGTTGGTAATGATCGCCAGAATGGAAAACTCCCCTTAAGACTTAGTCTGACTTTGGAGGATTTGCGCCCTCTTAAATAAGCAGCCTATACTTGAAGCCCGGCATTATCTACAAAGGATTGAATCATCAACTCCGAGAAGGTTTAAAGGTACACTACTGGCCAAAGGGTTTCATCTGTTTCCCAAATGGGAATCCCCTTGCATCAATCACTGAGATTGTTAATCCAAAGAAAGAGAACCAGGAATTTGAAACACAGTACTCCAATATGCAATCCGGTTTGGTGTTAAAAGACTTAATAGAAAGTTTACAGATTTGAGGCTGGAAGATATAGAAAATCAGTGTGCTTAAAATAGTTCTTATAAGTAGATTACACCTGGATAGTATACTTGTGGGTGAATTCTAATTGTAATAATTTATGTATGAATAGAAATATACAATGTATGTCATTCATAACAAATTAATAAAAATTAGAATAAAGCCTACTCACATTTAAAAAAAAAAAAAAAAAAAAAAAAAAAATTTGTCAAATTGCTGGAAACAGTTACTTCATGGCTAGAGATACTGTATATGATAATTGGATAGAGGGAGAAATTATAGTACTTACATCTGTTTCAGACAACGTTTTCTTGGTTTCTGTAGTAACATAATTTTAATCATGACTATTTTTCTTATTTTTGGTTATGATTGATGTTATATGATTTATAATATTTAAAATTTGAGTATCAGTTAATTCTGATATACTTCTTGTTTCATATAAAATTCTATAAACTTTATAAATGCCTATATCTTTAACTTCTTTTTTAGTTGTAGAATCAATAGTCTTTTCAAATAATTTATAGATACTTTCAGCTCTATATGTTTTCTTGTATAGATTTGCTTCTGAAACTTTAAGTAAAGAAGCTTAATTATAGCATAAACTTGACTCTTTGCAGTTTTTTTACTGATATCAGTTTTGGTTCAAATTTCAGCAACAGTGTTTTGATATGATTTTTTATAAGTATACCAATATATGATTTCTTTTTGCTGTAAACATTGTTTTTGGTAAGTCTGTCACTTTTCAGGACCAGCACTTGTGTAATGTTCAGATAAGTAGGTTTCTTTATTTGAGGTGTGTGATTTGACTTGGCCAGGTTTTCTATTAACTAAAGTTCTTCTTGTTTCTCACTCTTATGCTTCTACTAATAATCTTTGCCACTGTCTCTTCACGGCTCTTTGAATTATCCTCTTTTCAAGCTGATGGTACTAATTGAGATAAGTTTATTAATTGGAAATTCCCTTCTTTGGCATAATCAATCATACTACTAATTTGGAAATTTTTAATTAACAGTCTCACTATGGAGCACGATACTTTCTGGGTGTTCTGTTTTTTTTTCGATTCTGTTTTTTTTTTTCATAAGTATATTGTTCTTTTATAGCTTAATGCTATGCTAGAATAGACTATTGCTGACATCATGAATTTAGATTTTTAAGCTTACTAATAGACTATTGTATAAACTACTTCATTTTCAACATTGCATTTCTGAGTTTTAGACACATTACACACGAATCGCATTATGCATCCATCCCTTATTATACCTTTCCCATCTACATTGCTTAGCCTTTATTGTTTTTCCTTTTGCAATTTTGACACTGAAAAATAATTAAGCTAGCTCTCGTCCATTTTTATCTTCACTCACTTCTATATTGCTATCTTGAGTTTCAGGAATATTAGTTAATAAGATAGGTATTTTTTCTTTTTAAATAAATAGAATTATTTCTTGAATTATATCTTGCTCTATTTTCTGATTGTATGGTATTTTTATTTCAGAAGAATAAAACTCTATTTTTCCTACCTGAACAATAGAAGAAGATTTCCGATTTGAAATATATGTGTCTTCTCTAGTTTGGTCTTTATTAATAGAAGATAAGTTTGAATTTTGATCCTGAAGTTTCTTCTTTCTAATGCTCTGAATTTTTTCTTTACTAATCTGTTCCTTATTCCTTAAATTGTAGGGCATTTTTTCTATAACATTTAAAATTTTTTAACTAAAAAATTTCTTTTCATTTATTTTTTTTAAATAATTAAAATATTTTTCTAAAAATTTATATAATATTGGTTTTAATTATATATTATCTATTGATAGTA